CCAAATTACAACACAATACAATTGACGACCGTTCCCATCGTGGTGACGGTTCAGTTTCCAACGCCAACAGACCACAGTCCCCACAGTGAGGCTTGGTATTTCCACTGACACTGTCTGTTCCATCTGCACCGTTGCCGGCGCTGCCACAATATCGGTCTCAAAGATGGTCTCTGCCAAAAGCAATCACAACCGAAAGAAGCTCCTCGCTAGCTAATACAAGCCAGGCGTTTACTCTTACGGGCTTGACCCTTCAGTTCAGTGCCCAGGATGTTGACGGCAGCTTGTCAAGTCAGATTAAATCAAGTCACAAGACTATCTGCTCATGCCAACGAGAGTTCAGTTTCTTGCGCAATCGAACTTCAATGTTTTTGATGGGTCTCGACAGGTTCTGAATATCCAGCTTCATGAAGAGGGTTCCCCCTCAGTAGGATCCAGTAGGAACCAAGTTAGCTCGTGTCTGGAAGAGACTGGTATGAACAGATAACAAAAACAGTCCAGAGCGAGTTCAGCTGCGACAACAAGGAGTAGAGACAACGCTTCAGTGTAGTAAGAGAAATTAGGTGACACGTCCAAGCGCCTACTAGGTGGTCCTCAGGAGGGAGGTTTCACGTTCCGTAGACATTTATGCTTACCGCCGACTGTTATTGTTGTCCCTTTATCTCACGCTTGTTCCTAAGCGTGCAGACCTTGTCTCCCAGCAGACCTTCGGGCCTGACACTACTATTTGGGGCTTCCTTCTTTTGTTCCAGCTTCATGAGAATTCAAAGGTGTATAATCAATTCTCGGCTTGAGATGTTAAGATAACCAATCTATACTTCTGATACATAAAGGGCTCGAATCCATCACTTCTGTGTAGTCATGAATACTTAATTCTATAAGTACATACCAATTTTTCGTCACCTCTATACATGCATACACCATAAACATACGTACGATCATCAGCTTCATTATCGTACAGCGAAATACCGTGAAGCGAACTTCACTGACCGCTGCCAAACTCACAATACATACAAGGTTAGTGGTAAAATTTAAGGTGGACAGGGATTGGGTCTACTTTGAGGAAGAGAGAAGAAGATGAGCCACTACCCAATCGAACTCTGCATACATACCGTTTCAAGCATTCTGACCTGATAAGAAACGACA